CAGATTTTTTGACTCAAGCAACAACCTCCTATTCAGTTAAAAATCTCGTAGACAAAGAAATTCCAGTTGCTCTGACACAAAATATGAAACATTTCCTAATGTAGGATATATTTTTTTCACTAAAACCGATCCTTAAGATACATGACATACCATTTTGTGCTGTGCATTTTTGGGGGTATTCCGCATATATAGCTATCAGTATTACCTTAAAAAGGTTCAGTTATATACACATACATATATCAATATGTCTATGTATGTAAAGAGAGTAAGAGAGTGATAAACATTTTATTTGAGAGGGACTTCATTAGGAAATAAACTGAATGTGCTTGAAGAGTTGCACTACAAATCTCTTTATTGATTTTGCTTATATATGCATATATACATACATACATACTTATATACACATATATGTGTATACTATATACATATATATGTACGTCTACATGCATACATACATATATATTTATATGTATGTCTATAGACATACACACAGACATATATATCTATATATACTCACACACATATGCATATAATAGCTATATATCTATGCATAATATATATATATATATATATATATATATATATATAATATATATAATATATATATATATATATATATATAGACTCAGAAAAGCTCCCGGACTGATGGCACAGGGGGATCGTCCTCTGCGACTTCTTGCCACAGGGCCAGACGATCAGTCGACATGTCTACAAACAGATACTGCAGCATTTGCCTCGTTCAGTGCGTCAGAAGAGGCGAGAGTTGTGGCAGGACAACTCGTGGCTGCTTCACCATGACAACGCGCCTGCTCACAGTGCCCTGAGCAACCGACGGTTCCTGGTCGAGAACAGCATCGCCGTGCTGGAGCAACCTCCTACTGCGGAGGATCCCGGAAGAATCCTTCCAAGAGTGTATGCAAGCGTCGCTGAGACGGATAAAGTACATTACGATTCAAGGGGGATTTGAAATAAATCTTTTGTGACATCTGTCGTTGAACTTTTCTGACACATCTCTTATATATATATATATATATATATATATATATGTGTGTGTGTGTGTGTGTGTGTGTGTGTGTGTGTGTGTGTGTGTGTGTGTGTGTGACGCATATACATATGTAGTCTTAAAAAGTTGTCCATGTACCTACAAACACATATAACACTCACTGTAATCTGATTGAATATAATGAATTAAGAGGACCATCAGTCAGACATATCTGAAAGACTGCACCCCAGTGTTCAGAGTATCTGAATAACTTTCTTATCATTACATATGTAAAAACGGAGAGAGAGGAAACAGGAAAATATAATTTGACTTATGGAAAAGTTGCAATATTCAAAAGATTGCTTTTGGATAGAAATATTTCCATTCATTAACTTTTATAAACAGGGTTTGTAATACGGAACACAAAGGGTTTTGCCGCGTTCTATAATTTAATGTAATGATTTTGTTATTGCACAAAACACAACCCTATGCGTAGTCTTGCTATAGTAATTTACTACCTTATAGACTATTATAGACTATCATTTAAGGGATATCTCTGATGTCCTAAAAATGTTCTCATCATACATGGAACTTTAATAACTTTCGTCTACCTTTCATATTCCCTTCTTTCTAATCCCTGCGACAGCTGATAAGACTTCTCTTATCTGGGCTGCACGGTGATGCTTATGGAGATCTGCATCGGCGAAGCGACCGACCTTGCCACGGGAACAAATTCCAACGGAAAGAGGATGTTCAGTGGACTGCCACCTGATTCCCTGCTCTTCAGTCCGGGTTTCCAAACTGCATGTGATGAACATGTATATGTAGCAAACTTAGTTTGAAGTTCTTTTTTCCTGCAAGATGAAGTTGTACTTGGAACGAAGTTAATATTTGATTGCATTGTAAGTTCAGAGAGCTTTCTTTAGGCGGACACAACAGAAGTGACCTTCAGCGGTCAACGCAAGCGGCGCGGCAGCTATATAAAAAGGGCGGCACTTCCCACTAACTCACAACATTCTCAACCTCAACATGATGCGAAAGGTACTGACTTTGTGCTGGTGCTTCCTGTGGTATTTGAAGGTTTTAAGAAGTGGGATGTTTTTTCCTTTTAAACGCTATTCTATTCGCCAACAGGTAGGCTTGGTGCTGGTGGCAGGCGTGGTCGCCCTCGTTTCAGGAGATATCAGTCACCACGTCAAGAGTTCTCTGCACCACCCACTAGGTCACCATGCTGCTCCGCTACATCATGTAGCCCCTGTACACCATGCACACCATGCTGTGCACCATGCTGCCCCTGTACATCATGCTGCCCCTGTACACCATGGAAAGGGATATGCTCCTGTTTATCCTGATGTAAGTCTTCCTACTGTTAGTGTATTGATAATCGTAGTTTTGGATCTCAATTTTACATTTTCTTGAATTTGGGAAAGATTTTTTTATATAGGACAATGACGCCTCCATATAAGACTAAAACTGCGTCCTGATAAAACCTGGTGATTCTCCACTCTCTTCAGACGCCTCCACACTACGCCCTTCGAGCACGCCGTCCACGACGACTACGCCGGCACCCACTTCGGCCACTCGGAGGCTCGCGACGGCTACAAGACGGAGGGCAAGTACTTCGTGCACCTCCCCGACGGCCGCGTCCAGACCGTCACTTACTACGCCGACGAGACTGGCTACCACCCCACCGTCTCCTACGAGGGGACGGCCCACTACGACGCCCACGCAGCCGCCCCTCACCACGCCCCTGCCAAGGCTTACCACGCCCCTGAGCCAACATATCACGCTCCAGTTGTGCCCAGTTATCATGCCTAAGGGAAATATTCCTTTAGTACGAAAAGGACAAATAACATTGTCAATATTTAAAAGACTTTTGTATAATAAAATGAAACTTTGAAACTGATATTTTGACTCAAACAACATTCGTCTATTCAGTCAAAAGTTTCTTACTGACAAAGAAATTCCAGTTCTAATGTATAATAGGACACATTTCATGTTAAAGGCTATACCAGTTGACAAAATTCAATCTCTCAATTAAGATATTAGAAGTATATAATTTTCTCATAAAGTCATGATGTTATATGTACTTGTTGATGTATCTCACACACATTATATTCATTTCCTCCTTTTATTAATTTAAAAAGGATTCGTTATATATGCGTACGTGGGTGTGAGCGAGAGGGGTAAAGATTCATGTGAAGTTTTGTCAAATGGAAGTTGACATGCTCTAAAACGGCTACATATATATATATATATACGGAAATTAACTTAACTGAACCACTAGGTCACAACATTCTCAACCTTAATAAGATGTGAAAGGTACTGGCTGTAAGCCGTTTTCATGATGTAACATACGCATATTGACTTGTGTAATATTTTTTAATAATAACGGGTTCCACTCCAAGCATGGATAGACCTGGAGATTCAGATATGCGCATGAAATAAAGACATTCCTTTTCACCCTCTTGCATATCAGGATTACACACATTGAGTTGCATGTTGTTCAATTAATGGTGAAAACTTATCCCAAACATCAGAGACAGGTCGATGTTGGGTGTATTTAGTACAAATATTGTGTTCATGAATAAATCTTTGTATATTTTTGCTTTCCATATTACGACATAAAAAAAACAATATAAAGGACATAATTTTGACTTATAATTCTGCAGTACACATTGAAAATTAATTAGTCACTATAAAACTTTTAGGATGACTGGTTACTTGTAATACAAAAAGCAAATGTTTAACCATTTATTTATAAGATGTATTTACATAAAATATTAAATAAATCCACAATATATTCTCCTATTCCAGCTGACACTGAAAAGGGAACAATATATATTTCCTGTACCAGATGTCGGCCTTCCCTTCACGTACAAAGACCACAATTCCCAGGCAAGTTTCATAATTGACCTTTCTGCAGTCAAAAGCCACTGTTCATCTTGGCCTTCCTTCTTTTCCTGCTATTAAATTCTACGCAGTCTAAGCCCCATGTTATTTACTCCTTCTCCTCCTTGATGGGTATGTCCTCTGCTGGCACATGGTCTCGGAATTTGGGGAACTGTTCCCAGGGGGCATTCAGGTCAAATTTTCGGAATTCTTGTGCCAATTCAAGGGGCTCCACTACCACTCGCTTAGCCTCATCATCATAACGAACCTGGAATGGAAGACAGGAGGCATCAGTAAATCTGAGGTGATCTAGTGTCTGCAAAATTAAGACTGTATTGTATGCTTCACTTAGGGAGGGTAAAAGTAAGTGGGAGGCTATTTATCTATAATTTTGAATTGTAAAAAAAATGTATCTTAATGGACAATAATTACAACTGAAAGAGAAAAGAAAGAAAGTAAAAAATCCATGCACATGGAAATTTCAATAGCCCATTTTCTATAATAGGCTCCCTTATCAAACCATAACATATTTTACTCCAAGACAAGAAGGGTTACAGCATATAGTATACCTCTGCAAGACTGAAACTTGAATAAACGGCCTCCCCCTAACCCATCCCATTACACTTGGCCCTTTTTACCTCAACGTAGCCAGAGAGTGGGAAGTCCTTCCTGAAGGGATGTCCCTCAAATCCGTAGTCAGTGAGGATCCTTCGAAGATCTGGGTGGTTGGCGAAGAACACGCCGTACATGTCCCACACTTCTCGCTCATACCAATTGGCGCCAGCATACACCTTAAGAAAATAATGATAACAATATTAAACAAATAAATATACAAAATAAAATGTCTTATTACAACAGCTCTTTTAGACCCTAGTGTCACAAAATGCTTTAGTCTATTTTGTGTTGCTCTGTGTATCTATCCTTACCCTATAATGATGTCCCTGTTATCTATTTATTTTCATTATTATTTTTGGAATAAACAAAAAAAAACAGCAAATATGGTAGCTTGTAACACTCCTCACATATTTAAGCTATTCCTGAATAAAATAAATTCCTAAGTTAATAACTACACTCTATTTTTTGTGCAATACTGCCACCCAAAGATAAAAAGAAAGGGGGGGGGGGA